CATCCCCAGTCACTCGGAGAAGATCGAGGTCTCGCACATCTCCAGTCACCAGGAGGCGGTCCCGTTCTCGAACCTCTCCTGTGACACGCCGCCGTTCCAGGTCCCGAACTCCTCCAGCTATTCGGAGACGCTCTAGGTCTCGGACACCACTGTTACCACGCAAGCGCTCTCGAAGTCGCTCACCACTTGCTATCCGTCGCCGTTCTCGGTCTCGTACTCCTAGAGCAGCTCGAGGCAAACGGTCCTTAACAAGATCTCCTCCAGCCATCCGTAGGCGGTCTGCATCTGGAAGTAGTTCTGATCGGTCACGTTCTGCTACTCCTCCAGCAACAAGGAATCATTCCGGATCTCGGACACCTCCTGTAGCACTCAGTAGTTCTAGAATGAGCTGTTTCAGTCGTCCTAGCATGTCACCAACTCCTCTTGACCGATGTAGATCACCTGGAATGCTTGAACCCCTTGGAAGTGCTAGAACACCCATGTCTGTCCTACAACAAACTGGTAGCTCAATGATGGATGGTCCAGGTCCCCGGATTCCTGATCATCCAAGAACATCTGTTCCAGAAAACCATGCTCAGTCTAGAATTGCACTTGCCCTTACAGCCATCAGTCTTGGCACTGCCCGGCCACCTCCATCTATGTCTGCTGCTGGCCTTGCCGCAAGAATGTCCCAGGTTCCAGCTCCTGTACCTCTCATGAGCCTCAGAACAGCCCCAGCTGCCAACCTTGCCAGCAGGATTCCAGCAGCATCTGCAGCAGCCATGAACCTTGCTAGTGCCAGGACATCTGCTATTCCAACATCCGTGAACCTTGCTGACTCACGAACACCAGCTGCTGCAGCAGCCATGAACTTAGCCAGTCCCAGAACAGCAGTGACTCCTTCAGCTGTGAACCTTGCTGATCCTCGAACCCCTGCAGCCACGGCTGTGAACCTAGCAGGAGCTAGAACACCAGCTGCATTGGCAGCTTTGAGTCTCACAGGCTCTGGGACACCCCCAACTGCTGCAAATTATCCGTCCAGTTCCAGAACACCCCAGGCTCCTACCCCAGCAAACCTGGTGGGTCCTCGATCTGCACATGGCTCAGCTCCTGTGAATATTGCTGGCTCTAGAACCCCTGCAGCCTTGGCTCCCTCAAATCTTTCCAGTGCCAGGATGGCTCCAGCGTTGTCTGGTGCAAATCTCACAAGTCCCAGAGTGCCCCTTTCTGCTTATGATCGAGTCAGTGGCAGAACCTCACCTCTATTGCTTGACAGAGCCAGGTCCAGAACACCACCATCTGCCCCAAGCCAGTCTAGAATGACCTCTGAGCGGGCTCCTTCCCCTGCTTCAAGAATGGTCCAGGCTCCTTCACAATCTCTTCTCCCTCCAGCACAGGATCGCCCTAGGTCCCCTGTGCCATCTGCTTTTTCAGACCAATCTCGTTCAGTTGCCCAGACCACTCCTGTAACAGGGTCTCAGTCCCTTTCATCTGGGACTGTAGCAAAGTCCATATCCTCTGCTAGTGATCACAATGGCATGCTTTCTGGCCCTGCCCCTGGGGTGTCCCATGCTGAAGGTGGGGAACCACCTGCCTCTACTGGGGCCCAGCAGCCTTCTGCATTGGCTGTTCTGCAACCAGCTAAGGAACGGCGGAGCTCTTCCTCCTCTTCGTCGTCATCTAGCTCCTCCTCTTCCTCATCGTCATCATCGTCATCCTCTTCTTCCTCTGGCTCCAGTTCTAGTGACTCTGAGGGTTCCAGCCTTCCTGCTCAACCTGAAGTGGCACTGAAAAGGTGAGAGAATTAAGGAATCTAGGGAGACAGGGATTTACAATGGATGAGGGAGTTGGGAGGGAGAAATTTGTCACAAGTACTTGGCTTTGAGAAAGTCTAGGGGACCTTGGCCTTCAAGCGGGGATTAAAAAGAATGCTGGGTGGGGGCTTTGTGGGGAGGAGTGGGACAGATAAAAGTCTCCAAAGGTTAATTCTCCAGAGGATAATGATAAGTTTTCCATCTCTACAGAGGACAGAACTAGAGGAAATGGACTTAATTTTACAGCAGGAGGGATGGCAGTTAGACCTCAAGAGGAACTCCCTGGGCTGGAAGGATCTTCAGAGGTCATCCCATCCCTCTCCCTGCCTCCAGGCAGGACGGCCCCTCCCCAGCCAACCTGCACACACAGGGGCCTCCCCAAGCTGCGGCTCTCCAAGGAGGAGACCACCCAGCTTCAGCTTCCACATCTGAGTCCAGGGTCCTTATTCCTTCATCAGGGACATTCTTGAGGTTTAACCTTGATCCCTTGTGCTTCGGGCCCCAGCCTGTTGCTTGTGTTAGCAGAGGTTTGGTCAGCTCCGTGCCACTGCTCCAGAGAAGTGCTCACTGGCCTGCCTTCAAGTGTTCCCAGGGCCTTTCTCAGGCACCCCTCCCCCACTGCCGTTCCTCCAGGCCAAGGAAGGTAGGGTTGGGGCTGGGGCATTTTGTCTCCTTGTGATACCTTTCCTCTCTCACAGGGTTCCCAGCCCCGCCCCAGCCCCAAAGGAGGCTGTTCGAGAGGGACGCCCTCAGGAGCCAACCCCAGCCAAACGGAAGAGGCGCTCTAGCAGCTCTAGTTCCAGTTCCTCCTCCTCCTCTTCTTCCTCCTCCTCTTCTTCCTCCTCTTCCTCTTCCTCCTCTTCCTCCTCCTCTTCTTCTTCCTCCTCCTCTTCTTCTTCCTCCTCCTCCCCATCCCCTGCTAAGCCTGGCCCTCAGGCCTTGCCCAAACCTGCAAGCCCCAAGAAGCCACCCCCTGGCGAGAGGAGGTGAGTGTTTTCTTACCTGTTGTGGAAGGGGGATTGGGGGTGAGTTCTCCAGTAAAGGGACCCTGGGTGAGGTTCCTCGTGTGGACGTCTGTGTCTGGTTGTACGGGAGGAGCTCGGCACTCCTCCCATTCTCCCACAGTGTTGTATTATGAAGGGCTGCACTATCCATCTGAGGGCCCAGGCCTGGGAAGTCATTCTTCCTCCCTCTCCCCTCCCCTGACAAGCAGCCTGGTCCCAGAGGTTCTAGCTCTAAGTCTCCCCATTGCTGCTGCAGGGCTCTGGTCTGGCCACCGTCATCTTCTCCCGACTCTGTCCACAGCCTCCTCCCTGTCTCCCTGCCTCCACGCCATTCTCTTCCACACGTAGCCAGAGGGATCTTTCTAAAACGCACATCTGGTTACTTCCCTTCACTCCACAAATCCTTCCGGAACGCCCTGTGGCCTGCAGGATAAAGTGCCACCTCTGCGGGAATGGCGTGTGAGGCTCTTCACCAGCTGCCCTTGCCCGCCCTGTGTTCCTCCTGCCCGCCCCCACACATGCCCTGTGCTCCGGCCATACTCAGCGCCTTGCAGTCTAAGGAGAGCCCCATGCCTTTGGAATGCTGTTCCTTCTGCCTGGGATTTCCTTGTCTGCCTGGTGAACTCGTTCTGCAAGACTGCACTCAAACAGCACCTCCAAGAAGACTGCCCTGCCATTTCCCTGTCCTGCCCAGGCCCATGCATATCCATCCCTGCTGGGCTGTTTCCTATTTAGGGGGCGTGTGTGCCTTCATTGTTGACCTCCTTTACTACCAAACAAAATTCCTCCAAAGGCAGGGACTCTTTTATCTTTGCATCCCCCGCTGCACCCTGTGCCCTGTCCACTGGGGCACTCGGTGGATGGTGTGCGGGCGGATGGGTGAGTGCGGACAAAGGTGGGTCTGAGGCTGGCCCTGTGTGGTGTGAGGTTTGGTGGTCAGGACCTGGGTGGGTGGTCCTGAATGCTTGGCTGGTGGGTTTAGGAGGATGTGGTGCTATAGAGACCTACTCTGCTCCCTAGGTCTCGAAGCCCTCGAAAGCCAATAGACTCCCTTCGGGATTCCCGATCCCTCAGTTACTCACCTGTTGAGCGTCGCCAGCCCTCGCCCCAGCCCTCACCAAGGGATCAACAGAGGTACGGCCCGTAGCAGGTGCTAGTAACCTGGCTCATCTAGTCACCATTAATTTGTAGGCAAAGGGTTATTTTATTGGTCCTGTTCTAGTGCCTAATTTCTGTTCTCTTGTAGCAGTGAGCGGGTTTCCTGGAGAGGCCAGCGAGGGGACAGCCATTCTCCTGGCCACAAGCGTAGAAAGGAGACGCCTAGTCCCCGGCCTAATCGACACCGCTCCTCCAGGTTTGTCTCCTTGAAGTCTGGCCCTTCTGAGAGCCAGTAGTTAGTTGGGACCAGAATAAAGTCATGCTTGGTGATAGTTAATCAGTCTTCTCTGTTGCAGGTCCCCATAATCTGGATTCCACCTCGTGCTCTGGAGACATGAGTATTCTTTTTCCCAGAAAAATCATGGGAGGAGTCTTTGTCTGCCTTCCCTTGAACCTTGGCAGCATCTTGAGGGGAGGGCAACTTCCCCCTCTTTTTTTTTTTTTGTTCCTGTGAAATGTTGGTATCTGTGAGTTTTTCCTAGTTCATGTGTTTTGGGGGGTTGGAGTGGGAGGGAATGTGAGTTTAGGGAGGGAGGGGCACAGTTCCTGACACCTAGGCCCTGGAATTGTAATGACCCAGGGAAGCTTTTCCCCAAGTTCTTGGGGGGGTGACTGATGGTTTAGGACTTGGTAAGTCATGTGTTCTTAGAAGAAAAAGGAGTTGAAGTTGGTTAGCCCTGCTACACCCCCTTGACAAGGTGTGACACCCTCCCCCCATCTTTGTTTCTTAAGGCATTTTGGTTTTTTAAAATCTGTACAGCAAAAGCAACTTTTCTGTCAAATAAAATGAGAAATGCAGTGATTGGTCTGTAGACTTTACTTTTGAGTCTGAAGTAGAAGCCAGGTGGTAGCACATACCTTTAATCTCTGTGTTTGGGAGTCAGATCTCTTATCAGCTTAAGGCCAGCCTGGTCTACAGAGGAAACCTGTTCTTTAGTCCTTGGCCCAACAGGCTGGTCCAGAACTAGGCTTTCAGTCCTAGTGTTCGGTTTGGCCCAGTAGTATATATATAGTCTTAAGGGAGCAGAGAAAGTCAACAGCCAGGTAGACAGCCAAATCTTTTTTTTATTGGGGAAATGGGTCTCTAGGGGGTGGGGCCTGGGGCCCTCACTGCACAGCTTGTTCATTGGCACTTCCTCCAGAATCCTGTGGCTTCATAACATCTGGAAGCTCTGGAGGGCTGGAGAAGGGCTCAATGCGCAGGGCTTCAAAGGCATCATCTGTGGAAGGGAACAGACAAGTGGTTTTTTACATAAGCACCCTTAAAAATGCCAAGGCCATGACCTTCCCTAGGTTGCCTGTCCCCTAGGGACTGTTCCATTTGGTATTCTATGGTTCAAATCAACCAGTGTGTCCAGGATACATAGCTTTTCTGTCCCCAAATTACTGTTGCCCTCCACTGGGATTTCAATTCCCTTGACACCAAACACCAATTGACAATTGAAAATACCAGGCATTTTTTGTTCTGACTTTAAGGCTGCCAAATTCAGGCTAGTTGCTGCTATGCATTCACATTGGAGTTCAATTCAAATGTCACTTAGTACTTAGGCTGAACTGTGCTTGGGGGGAAAAGTCAGGGTTATGTACCCAGAGTAGCCAAGGAGAACCTTATGTTACCCTTATCTGTCTGAGATCACAGGCATATGTAGTATCTGGTTTCTTAAAATACAGTGTTACAGATTAGATCCCCAGTTCATGCCTGTCAGGTTTAGTGCAAAACACCCCCCCCCCATCCCTACCACCAATCTTTTTCTCCTGTGCTTGTACCCATGACTCAATACTGTTGGTTTGTATAACTAGGGAAGGAGGAGGGGAACAGCTGGGACTGCTTCCAGGAAGACAAGGATAGGCTGCCTGTGAGTGCTTGGACCCAGGTGCTCTGTAGGAGCAGCATGTATACAATTAAGCACTCTGGTCACAGCCAGCAGTGCTGAGACCAAGAAACTGACCCACTGCCCAAGTGGTGGTGTGTGCCTTTAATCTCAGCACTTAGGAGGCACAGGCAGGTGGACCTCTTGGGTAAAGTATCATAAAACAAAAGGGCTAGAGAGATGGCTCAAAAATTAAGAGCACTGACTTCTTCCAAAGGTTCCCAATTCAATTCCCAGCAATCACACGGTGGCCCATAAGCATCTGTGAGATCTGGTGCCCTCTTCTGGCCTGCTGGTACACATGCAGGCAGAATAGTCTATACATAATACACCATAAAAAGCCATTTAAAAAAGCTACAAGTCTACACTGATACAGCTCTTACTCCCTCATTCCAGTTACCAGTCTAGTTAAAAAATGGCCACTTCATAAAAAACAAAAAAACCTAATAGCAGTTATTGGACAGTGAATGGCAGAGGGAGGGAAGACACCCTCCTCAGAGGGAGTCTGCTCCATATCCAACACAACATAAATCATGAAAACACAAGTCACTGCCCCTACTTTGACAACTATAAAGGAACCTGTGGTCTGTTCTGCTTCACTAGCCCTACAAGTATCTCAGTGTTAACCTCAAAGGCAGTTTCTAGGGGGAAAATTCTCATAACGGCATTTGTAGCAGGCCCTGCTTGGAGTGCCCTGTGGAGATGGAATTCCAGGCTGGGTGGGGCAAGAGTGACAATTGCTACAGCTGAAGATAGCTTGCTGGGCTAAGATTTACTTTACAAACACTAAAAACTAAACTAGAACTATACTTTTCCCATCTAGGCTTTGGTTACATTTTCTTTGAAGATAGTATTTTTGGAACTGGAATCATGAATGGTCATATGAAAGCTGCCATGTGGGTAGTGGGAACTGAACCCAGGTCTTCTGCAAGAACCAGTGTTGTTAACTGCTGAGCCATTTTCCCACATTTTCTTGCCCATCATATACACAGCACCTGGGTCCACAGCCGTGAGAACAAGCCCTATGACTCTTGTTTAAATTCCCAGAGGCAAATAATAAAATTTTTAAATCTTGCCCTTACATCCAGGCAGGGTCTCTACATTGCCCTGGTTGTCCTGGAACTCCCTTTGTAAAACAGGCTGGGATTAAAGGTGTGTGTGCATCAAATGCACAATATGTGATCCATCTTTCCCAACTCACTTTACCTGTCCTTAAAATCTGGGGTGCCTTTAATCTGAGACAGACAGGTGGATCTCTGAGTTAGAAGTGATTTGCTTGCTTATATAGTGCCTGGCACGGTATCCGACTCCTTATATAGCTTGCCTCTCACCCATAGCACCTCAAGTCTTGGCTTCCCTGTCTTCAAAGTAAAGACAATGACCTCCTAGGACTACTGTGAAAAGATTAGGTGGAACTGGGTGCCATAGTGAATTTTTTAATCCCAGCAATTTGGAGACACAGGAAATTCTAGAACAGCCAGTACTATATAGATAAAACCTGTCTAAAAACCAAATAGTACACACCTTTAATCCCAGTGCTCTGGGAGACAGAGGCAGGCAGATCTCTTGAGTTGGAGGCCAGCCTGTTCTACAACAGCCAAGGCTGCACAGAGAAACCCTGTCTCAAACAAACAGACCCAAACAAACAAGATGAGGTGCGAAAGAGCCATATACTCAATAAATCCTATAAATGTGGCTGGTACCAGAAACCTGCAAATCATCCTTAATTTCCAAATTTCCTTTTGGTGTCTAATTTTTTAAAATTATTTTTCATGTATGTAGACATTTTGGCTGCATGTACGTCTGCTCCATGTATATGCCTGATGCTTGAGGACACTGGAAGAAGGCTTCAGGTCCCCTGGACCTGAAATTACAGTTCTGAGCTGTCATGTGGGTGCCAGGAATGGAACCCAAGTCCTCTGAAAGAGCAGCCAGTGCTCTTAATTGCTAAGCTATGTCTCCACTCCTTAATGTTTTGCTTTTTAATAAGGGAACAAATACCTTAGCTGGGCATGGTGGTGCACGCCTTTAATCCCAGTGCTCAGGGAGGCAAGTGGATCTCTGTGAGTTCTTGAGGCCAGCCTGATCTACAAAGTGAGTCCAGGACAGTCAGAGCTACATAGAAAAACCCTGCCTCAAAAACAAAACAAAACCCAAATACTTCATGCTCTTTGTGAACTGGGAAGGCATTTCCTGAAAGCTACAAGCTCCCCAAAGTCCTTCCAGGTTAGCCATCTTACCTGCTCGGAAGGCCAGGCCCACTGTGGCTGGGGCCTGTGGCCGTGCTGTCTGGCTAGTGAAGCCACACTCGCCCAGAGTTTTTCCGTCATCGAGGAGCTGGTCATCCTGAAGAGAGAAGCAGGGTTTGGAAAGAGGTCCTAAAGGGACAGGTCCCAAAAGAGGGCTTGTTGGTCAGCAACTGGGGAGAGTCATCCCTTAGTCCAAAACACACATTCCAGAACTATAGCCAAGAATTTCCAAATCTGGCTGAGTGATGGCTAACAGCAGTTAAAAGCTCTGGCAGAGATTCCCAAGTATATTTTCTAGCACCCATATAGATTGGCTCAGAACTCCATTTCCATTTCCATGGGATCTGATGCCTCTGGCTTCCACAAGTACCTGGACTGTGTGTGGGGGGGATGGGGGCCAGCCAGGTACCACACAAAAATAAAGCTCACAAGGGCTCTGAATTCTGTCTTTTCTGAGCTCTCTAGGTAAAGCTAACCCAAAAAGGTAGCTGGATTTTTTTTTTTTGAGAAAAGATTTCATACAGTATTTCTTGAACTTCTGATCCTCCAGCCTCTATCTCCCAATAGGATTATTGCCCAGTTTTCCCTCGGGCTCCATGCAGGCTGTTAGCACTCAACAGAGCTGCATCCCTGACTCCTATCAAGTTTCTATTTTAAACCAGCCTTAACTTTAAGATGGGAGTTGCTGGCATTCCCAACTCACTCTGCCGGAAGTTTTGATAATCCGGGCCGGGGGGGGGGGGGGGGGGGGGGGGGGGGGGGGGGGCACGGAAAGCAGTACTCAGAACCCTACGTGATTCCTAGAATAGCAGAAAGGTCCTTCAAGAAAAAGCCCTTTAGAGACGGGAACCCAGGCTCTAATCTGGAGCACAAGGTCAGCTCCCACTTAACAGCGGGAATTAGCTCAATGTACTTAGGTATCTGACATCATGCTTCTGGGAAACCTGAATTGGATTTGAGGCATGAAGATCAACTCCACAGCCTAGCTTACTGAAAACTAGAGCTGACTTCTCAAATAAAAAAGCGTGCTTGAATGCGAGGTGGTTCTAGAACATCAAGAGACTGGCGAGGATAAACACTGGCTAGGTGAATCACTAGAGGGATCTTGACCTACCTTCTAGACAACACTAGCACTCACGGAGTTCCACCCCACCCTCTGGCAGTGGGATTCCAGTGGGCTCCCAGCAGGACGAAGATTAGGCACACGATGGTGGCTAGCTAGGAACAAACCCTGGCTCCTCCACGACCTTCGGATGCATAAGATTACCGAGGCCTCGGTTTCCCCAACCGTTAAGCAAGGCCGCCTGGCAGGGCGGGGCGGCTGGCCCGGGGACCCGATGCACGATCTGAGACCCCCTTTCTGAGCGTCCTGCTTGGCACCCACGCGCGCAACCGCCACGCCCGCTCCTCGTACCTTGTACAGCCGCTGCTCGTCCGGCGGCCGCTTGAGGATGCCCTCGACGATGCGCTTCAGCTCGAACACGGTGCTCGATTCCTTGGCGTCCGTGAAGATGGTGGTCTTGTGACGCCGGATCATGAGAAACACGTCCTGAGAACGGCGAGCCCGCGTCAACGATAGCCCGCGGCCCCCGGCCGGGCCCCGGAGCCCCCGCCACCCCCGGCCCGCGCCCCTCCCCCCCGCGCCCGCTCACCATCCCGGCGGCTGCTTCTGGCTCGACGCGCCGGCGCGGCCGCGCTCCGCCCCTTCCCAGCAGCCCAAGCGCGGCCCGGCGTTCCCTGCGCCGCCCGCTCCGCCCCTTATCGCCCTCAGCCTCGCCCACACTGTCGCCGCCATCTTAAGCGATCCGGAAGTGACTGGCTCTGTGTGGCCGCCATCTCGGTGTCTGGGCTATAGATGGGCAAAAGCTGAAACCCTCACGAGTTCGGGGCGCAAGCCTGGCTTGCTTTAGATCGTAGAGCGAATCAGGGAGAGCGAGTCAGGCGCATCTGCCATAAAATTTTTATATGAGTTTTTTAAATCTGCATTTATGCCTTTGCACTAATTACATGCAATGCTTGGGGAGGCCAGAAGAGGGCGTCGGGTCCTCTAGAATTGGAATTACAGACGGTTTTGAGCCCCCATGTGGATGTTGGAAATTAAACCTAGCTAGCTCCTGGAATAGAAGCCAGTCCTCATAATCACAGAACCATCTTTTCAGCCTACATTTGTTTAAGAGTCAAGCTCACGTAAGGTTGCGAGGGGGCTAACTTTACAGCCATTTTGAGGTGTACAATTTTGAATTTTGTCGCCACTGTGTGTTGTCCTCATTTAGCCTCAGACTTGGGTCTAAGGGTTTGTTAAATCCAACTCAGGCTATGTTTTGTGGCCTGTTAGGAGCTAGAGAATGTGTTGCTTTTAGAAACTAGGCCTGTTGTTATTAGGGTCAATGCCTGGGTCTTGTCAACCCTAACTGGCGGTATACCTAGTATACCTGGTATACCTAGTCCCAGTATACCAACTAAAAAGTGATAATAGTGAAAAGCAGAGACAGATTTATTAACTGTGGCCACATGAGGAAGAGGAATAGTGGTGCAGGGATCCAATAACTCTCCCAAGTCTGTTGTGGAGCTCTTGAAAGGTTTTTAATCTGAAATGGAATAAATAAGCATTCCTAGGAAATGTGCAGCCTGTCATCTGACTGTCATTGTTTCAGCTAAAGTCACTCCTACAAGCTTGCCTGATGAGCTGTGACATCTATTTCAGGACATGAGAATCCTGTGAAATTCTGATTACTTGGGGACAATTGTTTTTAACAGTCTGATAGCTGAAGGGGGCTGTCATGGTGGGGTGCCACGAGTAGCTCTTTGGATTATCTTCATTCCTTTGACTATCTCAGGTACACTTCCTGGGATTGAAGAAAACAGGATAGTGTCCCCAAGACACTTTGAAGTTGTAGGGTCCTTGAGAATGGACAGAGCCTGGGATTGTTAGGGAGGGAGGGACTCAGTGCTAAGCAGCTCTATTTGTAGCAAGTTTCCAAGACAGTGTTTCTCTCTGTAGCCCTGCTTGTCTTGGTACTTGCTCTTAGAGGAGGCTGGCCTTGAACTCCATCTTTCTGCCTCTGCCTCTCTAGTCCTGGGATTAAAGGCACTGTGAGCCACCATGCCTGGCTAGAGTGAGCTTTGGTCATTATCTTACTGTAATACTAAGCTCTCTGCTAGAGGTGTTCCCACCCTATGAAATAATTTCATGTTAAATTGTGTGTGTGTGCGGGATATGTGCATGTGCACGTGGACGGCGGGAAGTGAACTCAGGTCCTCCGCAGACAGGTCCTCCGCGGAGCGTTCGGACTGCTTTAACCGATGAGTCATCTCTCTAGCCCCAGCTTATTTATTTTGGTAGGCTGGACTGGCCTTGAGTTCTTGATTCTCCTACCTCTAACCCCCTGAGTGCTGGGATTACAGGTGTCTACCACACCACCTCCTGTTTGCCCTGGAACTCGCTCTGTAGACCAGGCTGTCCTCTTAACTCAGTGATCCTCCTGCCTCTGCCTCCCCAGTGCTGGGATTAAAGGAGGTGCCACCACCACCAGCTTTTTTGTTAGTTAGTTTGTTTTGTTTCTCTGTGTAGCCCTGACTGTCCTGGCCTCCCTTTGTAGACCAGGCTGGGCTCAAACTCACAGAGATACACCTGACTTTGCCTCCCTGAGTGCTAGGATTACAGGCATGTGCCCGGTTTCATCTTTTGTTTTAAACATGCAACGGGACTGAAAAGAGCGTTCTGCACTGCTTTAACCGATGAGTCATCTCTCTAGCCCCTACTTTTTTATTTTGGTAGCCTGGCTGACTCAGCCCCCATGATAACAGAAATTATTGCTCTTGAAGAGTTCTGTTTCCAGTACTCGCAGCAGGGGGCTAACAATTGCTTGCAGCTCCCACTCAGGGGATGTGATGCCTCTGGCATTTGTGGGCATCTGCACTCATGTGCACAGAGAGATATACATACTCACACACATAATTTTAAAAAATAAAAATAAATAATATTTTTTAAAAATGCAAACATGAGCTGGGCATGGTGGCTCACGCCTTAATCCCAGCACTCAGGGAGGCAGAGGCAGGTGGATCTCTGAGTTCAAGGCCAGCCTGGTCTACAATGTGAGTCTAGGACAGCCAGGGCTACACAGATAAACCCTGTCGTCTTGAGAAACAAACAAAAATAAACATGCAATTATGCTGGCAGGTAGAGCACAATTTAATCCTAGCACTTGGGAGGCAAAAGAAGGTAGATCTCCGTAAATTCAAGGCCACCCTCGTCTACAGAGTGAGTTCCAGGCCAGATAAGATGGCACAGTAAGACACTGTCTCAAATTTTTCTTTTAAAAGTGAGGCTATGAAGCATGATCTCAAACTGTGCATATGCAAGAATGCACCTCTTATGATGACAAGTTTTTTTGGTATTAACTTTGGTGAGTCTTCTAATACATTTCCCTTTCTCCTTTTGTACTCGAGACACTGTTTAAGGAAAGTTCCCCAGGGCTCTCATTTGCTACAAGCAATCAAGCTTTCTTCTCTCTCTTATTTCCTGGCTTGGTTCAAAGTGAACCCACTGTGATACTGGCTTGGCCCTTCATTAGACTTGGTGACTGACTAAACTTGCTCCTGAGGTGAACTGCAGCTTTGATCAGCTAACCCCATCCAGGCCCAATTTTCTTTAATATGAGAGAATAGGGTTAGGGTGTTAGACTGTGGTTTGTGGGCTCTCCTGGCATGTACAAGGCTTTGGGTTCAGTGCAGGGACTCAGGGAGGTAACAAGGCTACCAAGTTTTTCCTTTTGTCTTTTGACAGACAGGGTCTCAAGTAGCCCAGGCTGGCTTTAAACTTTCTATGTAGCTGAGGATGACCTTGAACTTCTGATCCTTCTGCCTCTATCTCCCAAGTGCTGGGTTTATAGGGGTTTATATCATAATGCCCAGCTTTATGGGGTAGTGAAAATCAAACCGAGAACTTTGTGTATGCTAGGAAAGCACTCTAGCAACCGAACTCCACCGCAGCCTTCTGAAGTAGTAGTATAGGGCCGCTCCAAGTGTTAGCACTCAACATATGCTTCCTAAGGTATGACTAGTAATTGTTATTTTGAGCTAGTAGCCTCTGGCTCCTCAGGAACCCTCCGAAATCTCTTCTCATGTGTAACATCCCTCCCTCATCTTCATGGCAGTCCCCTAGTCCCTGAGTCTCTCATCCAGTCAACCAGAGGATCAGGCCTGCAGTGAGGGCGGTGGCCAGTGGATAAGCTGCAGCTCATAGCTTCTGATGGCTTCCGCAGGATGGTCGCACCCTGAATCTGGCCTTGCTGTCAGACAAGATGCAACAGACAGCATAGACCTGAGAGTTATGCCTGTCTAGCAGCGTGCACTGACAATCCAAGAATGGGCTGGGAGACCACACAGTTACTGAAGAACTTCGAGCTATGTTCTAGAAACTGTCTGGATCATGACTTCATCTGATCAGTTCTCTCTCTCCCTAAAAGACAAGGTGAAGAAAGCAATGGGCCACACGGAAAAGCAGACTGCGTAGGTCTCCCTCCCTGCCACTTGTGATTGGTCTCAGCTGTAACTTTGGGCTCCATTTTTCTCACTTGGCAAATAGGAAAACCAAGTATTTGATGAAGTGGTGCAGTGAGCCTCCTCCCTCTCCTCGCTAAGGCTCCTATCACAAGGCGTAGTGGTGTCATTAGCTGACCCCCCCCCCCCCCCCCAGTTCTCTGCTTTTAGAATCCCTCTTTGGCTGCCCAGTCATAACTAAGAAATGCTGGGCTCTCTGGATAGGGATTCATGATCTATATCACGGCAAGCCCAAAGCCCCGAGGTTGCTCTCTTTCAGCGTTTCCTCGTTACTACCCTCTTACGCTTCCTGGAAGATTGCTTGACTGGCCGAGGCAAGGATGATGGTGGTGGCAGGGGAGGGAGGGGCATGGGGTGATGTGCTCACAGTAGCATCCTGGGCAGTCAGTGTTCTCTCAGCAGGAGCTCCAGGGCCCTGCCGCAGACTGCCCACGGCCGTTTGTGGGTTGCCCTGCAGTCATTATGCGCCGTCCTGAGCACCCTCATCCTTTAACGGTGATCCGGTTCTGTTATACAGTGGACTGTTCTTAGACTTGGGCAGGAAAAGCAACCTTGAGCTCTTCTCCTACACAGCATCCTTCTTGGGGCCAGTGACCATCTCATACAGTATCTCTAGCATATAGGATGAGACAGAGAAGAAGAGGTAGGTGGGGAGGAAATAGACACTCAAGGCTTTGATCATTCTCCACCACATTTTCTGCTCCCGAGAGACAGCGTTGAAATCCTCTGGATCTCTCTGAGACTGCAGGAGCTAACCTCTATTGATATGAGCAGTCCTAGGCTCTGTGAGCCTAGAATGTGCTATACAAAAGATGAGCCCATTTTTCCTCTGGCATACCATCACAGTTGGGCTAAGTCTATATATACTAGACTTTATGGCCATGTAATAAATTGCCACAAGAGTAGCAGCTTAAAAACCACATAAATTTATTAAATCAAAAATCTGTGGCTCAAAAGCTTGGATGGCTCAGTTGAGGCCTCTGTTGAAGGCTTACCTAGCACAAAGCTAAGGGATTAGGAGATGAGGGAAATTTGTATCTAGTCTTCTGGCTGTTGGCAGCACGAGGTTCCTGGTAGCTGCCAGTGCCTTACAATGCCTGGCCCCTTGACCTTCAAAGTCAGCAAAGGGGAGTCTTCCTGGTGTTGCATCCCTCTTACGCTTTACATTTTCTGACTT